GAGTTGCTCTGCCCCAGGCTTCCTGGAATCAGCCACTGATCAGTTTCAGCAGCAGCTGACTTGGGGACGCCTGGGTTTCTTAAGTTGAATCTGTATGTAAGTCAGAACTGGCGTCCAGATTCAGCCGCGGTTGAAACTGATCAGTTTCAGCAGCGGCTGACGCCAGTTCCGACTTACATACAGATTCAACTTAAGAACAAACCTACAGTCCCTATCTTGTACGTAACCCGGGGACTGCCTGTACTACAAAATGGAGCCAGGATATCACCAAGTTCCTTCCTAAATCACAGGATAACAGAGTCTCAAAGTACTCTGATGAAAAGATTTTCAGAGACTGTGGCACATAAGATAAAATATGGCACAAATAAAGATGTAATACATTTAAAAGCTCATCATATCCTTTTAGCTGTGACCAAGAATTAATTAACCCCATTAGAATGAGACAATACAATTTTTGTCCTACTCTTAGGTCAGGCTTTTGACAAGCATGTATCAGTTGTATTGCTGAATCACAGATTTATTCATGAGACAATACAATTTTTGTCCTACTCTTAGGTCAGGTTTTTGACAAGCAAGTATCAGTTGTATTGCTGGATCACAGATTTATTTATGACCTTCAGTCTCTTCTTATAACCCAACTCAAATCCAGCCTAGGTTAATAATGAATAGGACTGATTATTTTTGAGAGCTGTTCTGTGGCTCTAAAAAATTAATCAACTTTCTAGGATTTACACCATTGAACAGTGTAATAATTGACATCTTGGTGATTGTCAAAGCAGGGGACAAAGACAAGCTGACCAGAGAGAAAACCATCTTCTTGCTCCTACAAAAATGTGTCACAAGATCCAGAAAAAAGAACAACATGGATGTTGTATGGAAGCTTGTTTATCACTAGCCAGTCTGTACCTGTCTGGTAAAAAAAAAAGACATCTCAATCTTCAGGATTCTTAGCCTTACACCTGAAATTTCAATGAAAACAAATGAAACAAACACAAACAGAAGGCATCTACAAGAGAAGGTCAGAAGATGGCTGCAGGCAAATTTGAAAAGCAAAATATGGTTGTCTGTTTGGCTTCAAGCATTAGTTCATGGTCTAGGATGCCAGAAATGAAAGAAGCTCTTCAATGTGCTTGAACCCAGCAAATATAGTTTGCACTCCATATTTTCTTACCTGATTTGCTTCAAGGACACAGGCATTTTGATTTGCTGATAATAATCAGGATACTTTTTTTTGGAAGGCAAATGGAAGAAGGGCTCGGATATAAGCTGACCCTGGTTATTCCGGCAGTTTCTAACTGTATCATAAAGCTGATAAAGAGGGTTAGAAGTATCCATAAAGGAAGTGATGCTCTCTGCTTCAGACTCTCCTTCTTCATAACGAGCAGCGGCTGTAAAAAGAAAAAAGGAAGTAGAGAAACCGAAGGGCAATCAAATAAAGCTTTGGGTTTTTTTTACTAATAAATGAGATAATGCCTGACCCACAAGTAAGGGAGTTTATTTACTTTTTAATACATAACTCTTAAAGGGACATCATATACTATCTGCTGCTTCTGGATGATGAGGTAATAAAGTAGCCAAAACTTTTCTCCCCCCCCCCCCCCCCCCCCATCTACACATCTGATCCATTGGGTTAGCACAGACAAAGACGGTCAGATGTTTACCACTTGCTACGAAACTGATGTCTCTTAATTATGTCAGCCTAAATAGCCACTGGTTCAGAGGAACTTTGACTTGGCAAAGAGATCTTGCACTTTATCAGATGTGGACCTCATTCCTTTGACAGAGTCAGATGGGATTACTGTAGAGTGCTGTACTTGAGAATTCACACTAAGAATACTCCAACACAAACTGATGAAGAAAACAGCTGTCTGCTTATTTACTAACCAAGCCAACAAAACTGAAGTACAATTGTATTATTTATCATCATGTTACAGAGTTGCATTTTGTATTTTTATTTATTTAAAATATCTTTACCCTGGCTTGCTTTTCTAAATGGAAATGTCTGCACACATGAGTGATGAAGAGCAGAACATACACAGAAGTGTTACACTATATCCTAGACAGGAGCAATCCACTGTTGGTAGGGGCATACTGTCTGTCGCATATAAGAAAGATGCTGAAGGAATCCTCCAGGGAAAGGAGGAATAATCTTTCAGTAACATAAGAAATATTCATGAACTCAATTAAAGGAGGTTACAAATCCCTGGTGCTATAAGCATATGTTCACATCTTTAGAAATGCTAGAATGTGAGATAATTTGCAAAACCTAACAACATAGCATAGACAACATGGCACACCTATTACACATCCCTAAACATTCATGAGCATACAGGGCCTTAAAAAATATTCCTGTGGGGGAAGGTAATCAACTGAGGTTAGTCCATGCAAACTGCAAATGGACTAACAGAGCAATTCTTTTAAGAATTCCAAGTATTTAAACAACATATAATAAATTCCAATACAGAGCCTAAATCTATTTTTGGCACAGTGTTAGAACACTCTTGTTGATGAAATAATCATCCTCTCTCTCTCTCAAGCTTACACAAATCCAAGTTTTTAAAACATGGTGATTAATCAATAAGAGACGCGCCCCCCCCAAAAGGTGCTATTACCTTTTCAGATGCTGGAACAAGTGTAAAGAATGACCTTAGCAAATATAGCTCATACTTGGAATGAGGTGATTATTTTCATATTAAGATTCACTGTTCACATGGATATGGAAATGTGTATAATGGAGACAGCATGAGAAATCTGCAGTAGGTTTTTATTTTCTGTCTACATATGTACTCACTTAACCCTTTATTATTAAAGAAATTTGCCATTTTAGAATGTCCTCTATTCAAGCATCTTAAGGTACTTTCTGAAGCATTAAATAAGCAACCCTCAAAATCCTGTGAAATGGGAAAAACCGAAGCTCAAAGCTGACAAGTACATTTTCAAAAAATAGTCACCAATTTTAGAAGGCTTGATATACGAATCACTTGGTAAAGTTCTGACCTGTGTCATGCAAAAGGTCTGACTAGAAACCATAATGGTCCCTTCTAGCCTTAAAAATTTATAAATTTGAGAATGTTGTATGCATTGATTTAAGGGTGCTCAATAGGAAACAGCTTGTGCCCAATTTCAGATGTACCAAGGGTCTACAACTGAAAGTTTTGTTCTAAGTGATTTGCCTAAGGTTAAACAAACAGATGTACCAAGGGTCTACAACTGAAAGTTGATTTGCCTAAGGTTAAACAAACAACAGTTGGAATAGCTGGAATTCGCTACAAGATTCGAAATTACTAAGCTGAGGCTAGGGTTTTCATACACACCTAAGGAAGTGATTAAGTTCAAAACAAATCTATACATTTATGTGTTGAGAAAGAGTCTCTTACATTTCTCCTTAAATTATCACACCTGGACTGAAGAACTTTTTCTAATAAAGGAAAGACAGAGGGTGCAGCAGAGACAACAAAGACTGAGAGTTGTCCTGCTTAGGACTCAGTTATGCCACTTTCTTTTGATTGGTACCTAAACTTATGATCCATATGTTTTACAGTGGTATTTCCCCCCTTCTCAAATCTATACACTTCACGACCGAGACTCGTGAAACAAGGTTAACATACTTAGTCCAGGACACTAGCATAGCATGAGACTAAGGATGTTAAAAATGCAATTATCTGGGTAATCGATACAATTTGTAGCAACTATATGATTAGTCGATAAGCGCTGCTGTGCAGAGCTGCAGCAGAGGTAACTCCAGGAGCCAGCTCCGGAGCCACCTGTGCCGCTGCTCTGCATTTTAAATGCAGTTAGAGCTGCTGGGCTCTTACTACTTTTTTCCAAGTGAAGACCTCAGGCTGAGACCTAGGGGAGTTGGTTATACTTGGGTTCACCTGCCCATTGCTACCAACCCCACCCCTGGAGTTAGTATTGCTTGGACATCTCAGGCCACCGCGAACAGGGGCTGCTTGGTGCCAACAGCCGCTGTTCATGGGAGGCCCAGCTCCCCGCTGGGACCCCTGCAGGCAGAGGCTGCTTCTCAGCAGTGTCCCCTCTGAGGTGGCAGGGCAGGTGGCACCTCAGAGACGGTGCTGGAGGAACTGGCTTTTAAGCCAGCTCCACCCGGCGCCGTCTCCTGTCCCGCCCTCTCAGAGGCAATAAGAAGGGGGCACCACAGAGAGCCCGGGGCGAGCGGTGCCTGCTTGAGTCCTGGAGAGCTCTTGTACATTTCAAAAGCAGAAGTGCCAGCAGTGGGAACTGGCGCCAGTGGGGACCGAAGCAATCCCCGCTTGCACCATTTCCCCGCTGTACCTCTGTCTCCCATGCTCTCCATGAAGACGGGGAGGCAGTGGGGGCGAGGGGAACGACTAGTTGAGTGGCTACTCAACTGATAACCATTTGCCTATTGGATAGTTGACTAGTCGTGAACATCACTACGTAAGAGACTGTACCAAACTATAAGAAAAAAATTATGTCTGTGCATGTCAGTGTAGAGAATCACTCAACCTAGAAAACATTTAATAATTCAATAGTTCTAATATAATTGTACCACACAGACAGAAAAATTAGACCCTCATATACTTTTGAATAATTAAGCAAAGCAGTTCTCCCAACCCTCACACTGCAGTTTGAATGAAAACTTAACACATGCGCTGCGCCTCTCCCCACCCCAAGCCTCAAGCCTCCCACCCCCCAGGCAACTTTTAGGAAGAGTGTATGTGTTGGGGGGGGGAGGGGAAGCGGCGGGGAAGAGAGCTGAAACTCCCCCTCGATACATACAAGGATATTACTTGCTTTTCCCCTCATCAGGTAGGGGGGAGAAGGTGCACCGTTTACTGCATTCCTCACTCTGATTGAGGAGTACAGGGGGTAGACAAACATGGACCTGCAGTGGCCATAGAGAGACACTTCTCACCTGGCCCCAAGCTGCTGGGGTGAGAGAAGGCTGGGGTAATCCTCTCTCTCCAGGGCAACCTGCATCCTGAACTCCTCATTCCTACCCCCATCCCAGAGCTATGATATAATGAAAATGTACATGCTACATTTGAATTTTCCAAGAACCCAAAAATTGCGTTAAGGACCTGAAGACCAGCAGGTAAATCTTCTAGTAGTACGTAATACTCACTACCTATGTCAAGCTGCAGATGTAGCGCCAAGACACTAGGAATGGTAAGAATTGAATCACACACATGCAAAATACATAAACATTTCACATTTGCAATTGCAGCAGTCTCCTGAGTTGCCAGCTCATAGCTGTCAAACTCAGTTTAATAAAATTTGAGAATTTAAAAAAAAAAAGAATACTAGACAAGTCCTCAGAACTCTAAATGTTCATGGAAGTGGGGCATGCTAAATGAGCTCTCGTTTTCCATACTCTCACTATCATTTTAATTTATAGACAAACAAATACGAGTTTTTTGGCATTTTCAACTCCCAATTGACTTCTTAGATTTGTGTGAATACTGAAGGATGAAAATATTCTCTCTGTGCCTGAAGTTGGCTTAGCAACTGAAGGAACTTGGTTTCAAGATCCTTGATTAATAATTCCCACTAATTCAGAGGAATGACTTTGTTGAAAACATCTCCAGTAAACATGTACTGATGTATATGGTTTCACTCCAACTCCAGAATTTATTATGACTGGCATGACTGACGAGTGATTTTGAGATGTCCAATGCCATGGCAGCACTATCATCAAGTTAGGTATCTTCCTTTATATGAATCAAGTGGAGTTAGTGTCTGATCCATTCACTTCTTTACTGCCTGTAATTTAACTTTCTAGTGAGGTATTTCTTTAGAAGTGCCTTCCACATTTCAACAGATCAGCAATGCAGCAGCAATTTCTCTGAAGTTTGTATAAGGTTATGGGTAACAAGTTTCAGTATACTGAGCATACTCTCTACAATCATCTTTAATCCAATGTTAGATACTTTGGATGAGATACTTCCATCTATTTAATCACAGCTTTCTTCAAAGTGTTATAATAGGCCAATTCTTAATTAATTGTTCAAACCAGTGAACCACAGAATTCCACTGAGCATCTTAAAGGAGAATTAGTTTGGATCCTCCTGCTCTCTTCAGTGAAACGGAAGCAAAATGGTTGTTATGGAACATTTGATTTCATTCCTACAAAGACGCACTTAAATCTTTGGTTAAAAGATGCATTAAAGGGGAACTGCAGTCGTGTGTTATTAAGGAGCATCCTTCTGTTATTTCTTCTAAGTATCTTCTCATCTTTGCAGCACTGTGATAGAACTGTGCATATTACATGAATTATTGTTTACAGTTTATTACAGCTTCCATTGCTACTTCTTTTGAATAATCCACTGTGTGGGCATATTGTTTCTGAGAGATATGCAACCATCTTTTGTTGTGTCACAGGTTCATATTACCGAATCATGGCGTGCATTGCTCCACCCATCAAGACTTAAATTGGAAAATTTCCCCTCCGTATTTCTTGCACGCTGTTCAAGTTCCTTCTCATACACGGTATCTAGCAACTTTCCACCAATGTCAGTTCTGCCAGGTGGAGGGCAGAATGGGCGCAAGGATTCAATCAAGTAAAGAAGGTGTTTGTTAATGCAAAAAGGAGAATATGTGGCAAAATTAAACCAAGCATCTTTTCATCTATAGTGTCTTGTTGGTATTTGCTGGCTCTTTTACTACAAACCCAGCCATAGTGATGGTTTTACTGGATGACAGAAATCGGTTATTTGCTACTGATACTTTATTGTCTGAAATATGTTTAATTGCAGCATTGTTGCTAAAAGTACCAGTGGATGACTCTGAAGTTGTTGCAGATAGACTAAGTCTCTTAAGCTTAAATGAGAACCTGAAACTAAATTCAAATGTGATTTTGAATAGTAGTTGTTCTCAGCTCTTCTCACTCTTTTATTCAGTTAACCATTTATATTTTTTCCTCAGTAAGCAGATCTAATTCCAAGTTACCAAAATGCTCATACTGACTGCACTTAGAGTGCACTTAATTTTGGAGTAAGCCCCTTAGAACTGGCATGTCTGGTTTTTGAGAAAACAAGTAGAGGATTGGGTTTCTTTCGGATAGCTGAGTTATGCGGACATAAAATAGGAAATAGACTTATGGCATCATCGTGATGAGCTGTGGCCATTACGTTCCAAAACAAGAGGCATGCATTATGCCAGGGTTATTCAACACGCAGCCCACAGGTGGGACCCTTTGAACATGGCCTCCACTGGGTACATGCTACACAATGGGGAAGCGTCTCCCAGGCAGGGCAAGCACTGAAAGACGCAAGCGGATGGGCTGGCTGGAACAGATGGGTACAGAGCGTCGGCGTTTCTAAAACCCAGGGAGGAGGTGCAGGGAGCGCCGGGGCATTGTGGGCAACGCTGGCTGCTTTGCCTTGTGGGCAGAGCCTGAGAGGTGCTGACTGGCTCACACTGGCCATGTCTAGGTCCGGTGCCACGGTCGGGCAGTCCTGACTCTGTCCCGCACGGAGTGACGAATTCGCGTGTGGGGACGTCAGTCCTGCTGGGAAACCAGGATGAGGCTCCTGGGCACGTCCTTTTTTGCCTCTCATTTCCAGCCTGACTCACCCAGCTCCCCACCCACCATAGGTTGGAGCACTCTGGCTTGGAAACTCTTCTTTTTAGAGTAAAATCAGTCCAAGAAATGCAGAGCCTGAAGCTAAACATCGGTATACAATTTTCTTTTTAATAAGAAGCACTAAAAATGGCAACAAAGATACTTGTTGAGTGAACAGAGTTTTCAACCCTGTTTGGGAGAAGAATTTGCTTTTGCAGAGATAAATGGAAAACCAATGTCAAAAGACTATTGCCGTGTTAAAGAAAACAAACCTGCAACTGCACCATGAATCTTGTCACTCTGAGTTCAAAGACTTGTATCCACCTGACAACAATTTAAGAAAAACTAAGATACGTTCCTTACTGGAAAGTTTCCGTACCCAACAAGATATGTTCTGTTCGCAAGTTAAAGACAGAGATGCCGTTCAAAATGGCTTGGCACATAGCTAAATCACCTTTTAATGAAGGTGAATTGATGAAGCAGTGCTTCTTGGACTGCGGTGAATCACTCTTTGCAGAATTTAAAAACAAAGAGGATATAATTAAACAAATATAAAAACTGCAAGTGTCTGATTCAACTGTAGTATATTGAAAGCATTTCAGGCAATCTGCTTTCTAAATTGCTAAAAGCACTGAGTATTTCAGTCTGGCAATGGATGAATCTACTGATTGTTCAGACATATTTCAGCTCATAACCTGGATTCATTTTTTCAATGGCAAAAAAGAATGTCAAAGAAATGCGTACTCTGCTACCTTCGACAGGTCAAACTAGGGGAGAGGACATTTATTCTTTGCTGATGACATTTTTTGAAGGATCAGGAAAATGTATTGATCTGAAGAAGCTTACTTCGGTAATAACAGATGGCGCTCCCTCCATGGTTGGAAAAGAGAATGGGCTAATTTCTTTGCTGAAGAAAAATCCACAATTTCCAGATTTCTTTTCATACTATTGCATTCTTTACCAAGTTCAGTTATGCAGCAAACTGAAGAGAGGATTTCACAAGAGCACAATGGAAACTGTGACAAAAATTGTCAACATCATTGTTGCAAATACCTTGAAATACGGACAATTTCTGGCTTTAGTTGAGAAGTACAAAACACACTATGATGAATTGGCAGAGCTTGCAGAAGTTAGATGTCTGAGTCGAGGCAAAGTGTTAGATTGGTTTAATGGATCTACTGCCTGCCGCACAAGTGTTTTGGGAGGCAAAGGATTGCCAGGATTTACTGTCGTGTTTAGACAAAGAGAAATTCCTGCTAAATGTGGCTTTTCTCACTGATATGACACGCCACTTAATGCACTCAATCTTAAACTTCACAGAAGAAAAAAACCTGCCTTCTCTGATGTGCAATGTTTCTGGCATACGAAACAAAACTGGCCCTTTTTGCAGATCAGCTTCGTGAAAAAGACTTAACTCACTTTCCCATCCTCAACTCGCAAGTGACACAGCTGAGTGAACATGCATCTTTTTTGCCTGAGTATCATTGTGGCCCCCAGGGATTCCAAAGTTCAGTAGCCCTGCATTATGCAATATAAAATTAAAAAATACCGCTCAAGATCAAGTGGCAACTCTAGATTTCTCTTACGGCAGCTTTGCGTACTGTACACTTGAGTGATAGATTCTAAACCTCATTCACCAATTAAAAAAGCCATAAGAATTAGATAAGCTAAAAACTTTTTTTTCTAGCAACATCCAACATAGCAAACAGCTTAGGAATTTACTTGTTAAATTGTACTTATACCAAAAGGCACAGAGAGAGTTTTAAATAATACCCTTGCAATGCATCATTCTTCATGTCACTAATCAATTGATCCCCATTGTTCTTTAGACACATCCACATTTTCACCTCCTAAGTAAGCAGTTGTCCTTATGATGTTTCATTCTTGCAACTAAGCCCTGAATCTTATTGCATTGCTTACACTTGACACATTTATCTTATTTTACCCAGGGAACGAATTTCTTCAAAATATTCCCAGATATGATCTCTCTTATGTCCAGAAATCATGACAGCTTTTCTATGGCAAGTGTGGGGGAATATAGGAAGCTATTCAGTGTGCGCATGTGCGTGCACGCGCGCACACACACACACACTCTGTCTTCTTTCCAGTCCACTGCATTGTGCCTTTCTATGATGCCTCCGTCCTTACCTATACATTGTCTTTCTGCCTTTATGATAATGTCTTAACTAATTCCTCTGCAGTGCAATGCCTAGTCCACCACCACATAAGCACAGAACAAAAACAATCCTATCCAGTCTGTGTCCTCCTTTGCACATGTGACTTTATTTTGCTGAGAAACAGAAATTAAAAGCCCAGAGTTTCAAGCAGCGATAGCTGGTAGTCACACTGGACACATTAGAGCCATTAATTCATTTTTATGAGACATTAAGTGTAGGTATAGTAAGTGTGTGTAGAGATTTAATTGTAACTGTTCTTTTTAACTGAAAAATTTAGTATTTTATTCAGGATTTAAAATTTTTTTTAAAAAAAAATCTTAAGTCAGATTTACAAAAAAAAATTGATTTTTCCCCCACCCTAATTTATATTGATACCTGAAGTTAGAATATGTAAAACAGAACTGTGTAAACATTTTATTTAATGCCATCAATAAAGCTTAACAGCCACACAGAAATAACACATTTTACTAAGAATAAAATGTGATGACTTGTGAACTTTTAAGAATCTATTTTTCTCCAATACTAGAAGACACATTCCAGTGTTTTTTCTAATATTTAACACACTGATTCGAAAACAAGCACTTTTCCCAGTTTACAAAACCTTGATGGACTGAAATGTAACAAAAATCAAAATAAAAAAGGGTAGATTATTTTGTCTTTCCTTTCCTGCCGACTACACATTTCATCTACAGTTCTAAAAAACAAACCAGTCTTAATAAAATTGCATGTCATGCCTTTTAAACTCCAAAATAATCTGGAAACTACAAGTGTCTAAAAAAGTAGCAAAGGAAGTGTCATACAGAGTAAATATCCTGCAATCATTCAGTACATTTTAATAATGTGACACTGGTACAAGTGAAGTATTAACTCCTACCAGCCAAAGCAGCATCCTCATCACTTTCTGATCCATATTGCAATGCCATAGTTATTGCAGATAAACGATCCCCTTGGACTGATCTTTTGTTACTTTAAAAGTAAAAAGAAAAGCAATGTATATATTAAAACTACTGTTTAGTTATGCTCTATGAACAACTGGTGGAATGTGAAAGTCATATTAGCAGTCTAGAGAACCACTACTAGAAGAGTAGGCAGGGATAATCCAAGAAAAGATGAGACGTTTACAAAGGACACTGGCCCATGAGATTATCTGTTTTACCAAACAATTCGCCAAGCCAAACATTTGGAGAACTACTGCAACAAGGAATTTAAAGCTTATGACGCTCAGTGCCCTCTGCACTGCTCTTCGTATTCATTCATAGTGAAAACCAGCTCAATTAGAAAACACCAACTAAGTCATAATTTTCTTGTTGCTTCGTGGGAGTAACAAGAGGCCACTGATCATATTTAATATACTGGGACACAGACTTCTTCAGTGAAGAGCAGGGAAGAATTCCCCACATAATCGTACCCACTGAAAAGTATTCTGAATCAACTTTCTCTTAAGGATTTCCTCCTCCATTTGGCCTCTCCTTGTTCTTTAGTTTTATATTTTTAAAAGTTACCTAAATTATTCAAAAATATTTTTTGAGTTGCAATACAATTCATTGATACTTTTATCATGCCTCAGTTTGTAATGAAATATAAGAGCCTGTTCTTTGGAGCATTTTAAGGAAATAAACATTTTATTAAGTAAAAAACTAAAAATAATAAAGGACAATTTAGAGTCAATACCCTATTAAACAATGAAATTTGGAGAGAAGTGGTTATTAAATCTGATATTTTAAATATTATTTATCTAGATCATTAAGCTTGAGGGTTCATTTAAAATACATACATCAAATTTCAGAAAAAAAGCTTTGACTTTAACATTTCCAAATGACAGCTAGTCTGGGAGGGAGGAGGAGTGTATTGGGGGGGGAAATCAATAAAAAAAAAATTAACTGTGTGGCATCCACACCAAAACAGACAATATACTTACCGGTAATATTTGTTAGTAGAATTTCTCTCATCACCAACACTGCCTTTACCCTGTGAGGAAGGACCTGTCAGTTTGGAAGCTGCCAAATTTGATGGAGTCCTTTAAGAAGAATCAAGCCAGAGAAAGGGAGAAAAAGAGAAAGTTGGCTTAGACTCAAGAAGAGATATAAATTAGAATGCAGCTCTTTCACAGAAGAATCTTGAAATAGGCACTGAGAAGGAATGTAAAATGTTATGTTGCTAAATATAAAGTGATACACTTAGGCATAAATAATACCCAAGTTAATCATAATGTAAATTATGCTGAATTCTGTTTATAAAGGTAGATGAAATGATTCTAAACAATATTGGTAGAACCATTATTTAAATTCTCAGTCCAGCATACTTCAGAAATAAAGATGGCTAACAGGATATTGCTAAGAACTGAGATGTAACCATACACAGCCAGGCATATTATGTTCTCCTTTAATAAAGCATATCAAATTGTGTTGCAGACACTTCCCTTGTACATTGGTCATCTTATCCAAAAAACAATTAAGTGCACGGCAAATGGGCAATTTGTGATGATGTGATGAATGAAAGATGTGCATCTGGACAGAGTCACAAAATTGGAATTATCTTTGACATGATGATTAGAGTATTTAAATTAGCAAAGAATTATTATAAAATTGTGCTTTTTAAAAGAAAAAGTAAGCTAGAATAATTTAAGGAGGTATTTTGCTGAACATAGTATATAGGTGAAAGACACCCAGATGAGGTGGAAAAATGACAATAGGTTTGTGCTTGACTGCAGTCAATAGCACTCTCCAGGGCAGCACAAAGTTTGTTTTTTTAATTAAGCTTTTCTCTCCTTCAGTTGACTATAAAAAGTGGGCAATTTTATTTTTGTTTAAGAGTAGAGGTTTGGTTGGGTGGGGTGGGTGGGTGTGTCCCCCCATCCGTCCGTCTTGAGACAAAAATGGTTTTTAAAAGTAGAGATATCAAGATGAGAGCTATCAGATTATTCTGGACATGAAGTCAACTTCTGGACCTACAAGACTACATAAAAAATTCAGAAACAAGGTAAAAAAATTAAAAGAACCTTACAAAAGAAGGTAACTAAGGGATGGAGAAGAAGTTGGCATATGAGAGGAATTCAACTAACAAATACTAATGTGTGTCCATCCTCTTTGCATAAAAAACAAAAATCTGAAGATATGAGCAGTCACAGCCTCAGCATTAAGTACAGTATCCAATTTTTGCAAGATCCTGATTCTTTAGTAATTAAGTCAGTGAGTCACCATTTAGGCCCTGGCGCTGAAAATCTTTAAGCACAGATGTAGATCTACTGACTTCAGTGGAACTATTACACCAGGGGTGTCCAAACTTTTTTCAAAGAGGGCCAGATTTGATGAAGTGAACATGCGTGAGGGCCGACCATTTTGCCTGACATTCTTTGAACCATTAAAATTAAATGCAAATTAACTATTTTATGCAAAGTTTATTGCAAACGGCAAACGACATAACACCAACTATACATGTTGTGTCCAAATATATTTATAACTGATTTAGACCAACTGACATTAACTGAGATTTTACAATGTAGTCATCTCAATTGAAAAAAAAACTTGCCTAAACTAATGTGAAGGGTGAAACTGAGATCTGGACTGCAGTACATAGGCTAGGTCTGGTTCAAAGGCAGTGGTTTTGATGCGCAAAATGTCACGCAGGTGAGAGTCACTTAGTCTTGTCCTCACGCGGTTCTTGTTAAAGTTCATAGCAGAGAATGTCTTCTCACACATATATGTTGAGCCAAACAAGCTCAGCATTTTCTTAGCCAATGTTCGAATCTCTTGAAACCGGCTCTTATCCAGTTGGCGGTAAAAGTTCACAAGAGAGAGCTGTTGGTGACGACTGCGTAACTCGCTGTCACAATGCAGCTCAATGAGCTCGAGCTGCAGCTGATCTGGAGCATCATCGGGGTCAACAGAGAATGGAGAGGAGAAAAGGCTGATCTCCTTTTCAATAGCTGCAAAGTCCTGAAAGCGCCGTTTAAACTCCCCAGCCAGAGATGCAATGTCTGCTGCATACCTGCTCGTTTGCGCACTGATATTGTCCTGTGGAAAACTGTTCATTATTTCCTGCAACGCTGAAAAATGTATGGTATTGGGCTGTGTTTGTGACAACTGCCTTATGAAAAGTTGCAGCTTTGTCCCAAAGGCTTTGAGGTGTGAATAAAGCTGGTTCACCGCTGCATCTTTCCCCTGAAGACTCGTGTTCAGTACATTCAGATGCTTTGTTATGTCAACTAGAAACCCCAAATCAGCCAGCCAAATAGGATCAGATAGTTCTCGCATTGGTTGTCCCTTTGTTTCCAAGAATTCTCCGATTTCCTTTCTGAGAGAGTAGAAACGCTGCAGTGCAGACCCCCGACTGAGCCATCTTACATCGTTGTGATATAAAACATCTTCGTATTCAGCCTGGATGTCCAGTAGAAACTGTTTAAACTGGCGGTGGCACAGGGCTTTAGAGCGAATAAAATTAATAGTCTTTAGCACCGGTTTCATAACATGATCATATTTGAGATGTTTAGCACAGAGAACTTGTTGATGAATGATACAATGGAGTTTAATAGCTTTGCCTCCTTCTTCGATCACCTTGTTACAGATTAGGGTTGATAATCCACTTCGTTCACCAACCATGGCAGGTGCCCCATCAGTAATAATCCCAGTAACTTTGTTCCAAGGCAGTTTCATGTCATCTATGGCGGAACTAACAGAAACAAATAAATCTTTTCCTCTTGTTTGGTCCGTAAGGCTCTGGAGGTCAAGTAGCTCTTCAGTCACATTCATTTCATCGTCCACCCCTCTCATAAAAATCAGCAACTGAGCTGTGTCAGATAGGTCCGTGCTTTCATCACAGGCTATTGAAAAGAAGTCAAAATCCACTCCTTTGGATGTCAACTGTCTCTTAATATCTGATGAAATCTCTTCAATTCTCCGTGCTACAGTGTTACGAGCCAGGCAAATGTTGGCAAACTCTTGCTTCTTCTCGGGACAGATATTCTCAACCATTTTCATAACGCATTCTTTGATAAAGTCACCCTCAGCAAAAGATTTGCAATTTTTAGCAATTAACGTTGCCACCTCATAGCTCGCCCTTGTGGCATTTTCATTTGACTCACGGGCTCTTATGAAAAATTTCTGTTGTGACATTAAAACAGCTTCAAGTTGCTTCAACTTTTCACTGCGGTCGTGCCCTGTAAGCTTGTCGTATGTGCTATGTCTCGACTGGTAGTGTCTCTTGACATTAAATTCCTTATAAACAGCCACAGTCTCTTGGCATATCAGACAAACACAGTGATTCTCTATTTCAGTGAAGAAATATTCCACTTTCCACCTGTCCTGGAAGCGGCGGCCCTCACTGTCAACTTTCCTTCTCTTATTTACAGTCGCCATTTTTTTAAATTGACCAGAAGGGGAAGGGATCATGTGAGCGCAGTGCCAGAGGTTTAATACACTGCCCAAGTAATACACTGCACTAATACACTGCCCAACAAGAATTCTCTTGCCTTTGTGGCTGTTTGTGGCGAAGTCTCTAATGATGAGCTCCACGTGCCGGAGCCCGTTTGTGGCGAAGTCTCTAATGTTCGCAGCTCCACGTGCCTGAGCCCGCCAGGAAGCTGACAGTGCACAGGGCCAATCACAGATACTGAGCTTGAGCAGCTGCGGAGTCCGTCCCTGATCTCAGCAGCTGCGGAGTCCGTCACTGCACTCTCAGCCCCAAGGTAGAGGGCTTGCAGGGTCAGAGGCGGGCGGAGAGCGCAGGGCACGCTGGCCTCACGGCGGCCCGGGGGCAGGGCGAACCCGTAGCCAAGCAGGGGAGCAGGGCTGTGGACGTGCCCTACATGGTGGACTTTAGGGGCCCGCAGCGGCCGCCATGGACGGCGGCGGCACGGCCGGAAGCGGCGCCAGTCAGAGGAGCGCCGGGGAGCCAGGAGAGGGGGAGGAAGTGGGGCTGTCCCTGCACTCTCAGCCCCAAAGCGGAGTGCAGGGGCAGGGTTTGGGACCGTGGCGGCGGCGGTTCGAAGTGGCGCGCTGAGCGCGCCAGTTAAAAAAAGCACCGGGGAGCCGGGAGAAGCAGGGGGCCGTATTAAATCCGACCGTGGGCCGCATTTGGCCCGCGGGCCGGACTTTGGACATGCCTGTATTACACTTTAGATGTTTGCAGTGTCAGGACCTAACTCTGCTACAGACTTTAAGAGAGGACACTATCAATTTGTAATATAGTCAATTTTTTAAGAAACAGTTACTGAGTTTCAAGAATTACTCTTGCACATGAATCCCTCTATCCCATTTTTATCATTTTACCATCATATTTTCTTGTTTTGTAAAGTCTGAGATACATCAACAGCAGGGAGAATGATTTATACAGAAGAAACTGACTGATTAAACGGAAGACACAGTGAAAATTGACTATAAACTCCAATTGCTGACAAAAGCACCAAATAAACTGTAAAAAGAGTATATTTCTCTTATCTCTTTAATTTACATTAACCTTAGGTAAGACAGATACTGAAATTAACTGTATTGGGCTAGAGCAGTGTTTCTCAAACTGTGGACCGCTGGGGGATTACAGTGGATGAGAAGCTGGATATGAGTCAACAGTGTGCCCTTGTAGCCAAGAAGGCTAATGGCATATTAGGTTGCATTAGGAGCAGCATTGCCAGAAGATCCAGAAAAGTGATTATTCCCCTTTATTCAGCTCTGCTGAGGCCACATCTGAAGAATTATGTCCAGTTCTGGGGTCCCCACTATAGAAAGGATGTGGACGTATTGGAAAGGGTCCAGCGGAGGGTGACAAAAAATTATTAGGGAGCTGGAGTGCATGACCTATGAGGAGAGACTGAGGGATTTGGGTGTGTTTAGTCTGCAGAAGAGAAGAGGGAGGGGAGATTTTATAGCAGCCTTCAACTTCCTGAAGGGAGGTTCCAAAGAGGATGGAGAAAGGCTGTTCACAGTAGTGACAGATGGCAGAACAAGGAGCAATGGTCTCAAGTTACAGTGGGAGAGGTCTAAGTTGGATATTAGGAAAAACTATTTCACTAGGAGGATGGTGAAGCACCTAGGAATGGGTTACCTAGGGTGGTGGTGGAATCTCCATCCTCAGAGGTGTTTAAGTCTCAGTTTGACAAAGCCCTGGCTGGGTTGATTTAGTTGGGATTGGTCCTGCCTTTGACAGGGGGCTGGACTTGATCACCTCCCTCAGGTCTCTTCCAGCTCTATGATGCTATGTATTTCTTTGATTGTAAGGATGTTTCTGGAGTTCTCTATCCTATCACAAAAACAGCTTCAGAAGAGGAGAGAAGTTTTACTTCTGAGAAACATAGGTACTCCAATGAGGTCCTTTGCAAAATATCTAAAGAAGTGTCCCTTCTCTCAAGGACTTTGTTAACTCTTGTGCTCATTTAGAAGATTGCACTTAGCTTGTCTGATAAAGAAGATAATTCACCCTGACAAGTGCTGATTTTGACTGGGGGAAACTGGTATAAGATATACCAGAAATAGCATTTTTTGTCAGTAGAAGCTGCATCTTCAGTAGGCAGGCTTGCTGGTACAGCTGTATTGGCAAACCTTCGGTGTAGATCTGTCCTTTGGTACCCAGTTCTCATTGATTTCCAGTGGGAATGAGCTGCCTTTGCATGTATCACCTGGTTCGAGGACCCCTTGGCGGGGCGGCCAGGACTGAGCAGGAGCCAACGCTACTTCGGCAGCTGGGGTAGGGTGCGGGGGCCAGGGCTGTTCCGAGGGAACTGACCCGCATGATTTTGATCTTCCACACTGTATGTGTTTATGCCTTTAAACATCACATTATTTGGGGAAGAGATACTTCACAATTTGTTTGGCACAGCTTTCCTACAGTATAACTCTGCATTCACTGATAAAACTATGGGAAAAATAAAATCTAAGTTAATACTGATTATTAAAAACTAAACTACACTACAGCAAAACCTTTATTATCCAGCACTCTGTTAACCAGAAAACTTTGTTAACCAGCATTGCCTCCACCCACATTTTTGGGCGCACAGGCCTGGCTTGGTTTACCATGACTGGCTTAATTTTTTATTTAAGAAGTACTAATCATCTTTAACTCAAAACAGACACATGAGACCAACTGCCTCTCACTACACAACTACCAATATTAAAAACTTGAGTTTTACTATTATTGTCCATTGGTTTTTCATAGGTTGATGGAACCCTTGGGTAACCGGATTATTTCCTAATCCCCGAGCGTATTACTGTATTAAGTGCACAGGAATCAGCACACAGGTTAAGGCCAATGAATAACATGCATTGTGTGCGTACAGATGCAATGTAAAATAACACGACTGCTTAAAATCAATTACCACAATGAATATGCACATACATCTTTTGTCATAATGAATATGCAAATGTTTCAGTGCCAGTTCACAAAAAGTTTCTGAATAAGTTTGCCAGTCCATGGTATAAAAAAGGTTGGGAACCACTATCTTTGAGAATCTGAACCTCTGTTCCTTGCTCCTGATTTTCTGTTTGTACCCATTCAACACAAATAACAGAAGCTGACTGCAACTTTAGCTTTTGTGCTTCCCACACATTCTCTGTATTTCAGTGCCAAATATATCTTAATTGTAATATATTTCAGCAGTTGCCTTTAAAAATCTGTCAGTGGTTTATATGATTTAAAGCACAAGCAAGCAAGCAAATTAGATAAAATTAATATTTCCTGGTTGCTTTTTTTGGGGAGGGGAAAAGAAGCAAAATTAAGAAACTAAATTTTAGTAAATACTTGTAAACCAGACTTCAAATAGTAATTTTTTGTGTTTTACCTGCTGTACCTGATTCGAAGACTTGACTTAGTCAGTTCATTATGTTCAATTTCAGCCTTTTTCATATTAAATATTTTTTTAATCGCATTTGCATCCTGTCAATTAGAAGAAGCATAATTCATTTAGAAAAATGAGACTCAGTGAGTCAAGGATTTACTCTAATTGTATAGATATAATTGGACACATTTAAAATGATGTGAAAAGAAAAGTTAGGGGTTCATATTTTTCTTGATAGAAAACAACTTTGTCCAGCATCAAAAGTTTGTAGCAAAATCTAACTTGAAAGGAGACTTCCCCTCCTTAGAAAGTTACATTTATGTAGTGCCTTTCACCCCAAAGTCCTTAAAAACTGAACTTATGCAGTAATCACTTCACCTCTGAAATTCATTAACTGCTGGGTACAGGAGGGTAAGTAGACAAAGAAATACATGCGTAGCATGTGAGTCAATTGACAGAGAAAAGGAAGTGGGAAGGAAACAATGAAGAGTAAGTCTTGGATGTATGATACATGCAGACTCTTACAATATATGGAATAGCATCTTTAATGCCCATGCAAAGGAGGCACTGCCTCCATTCTTTAAGGTCTTATGCTGCAGAGCTCCCCAGAGTAAACAGCACGGAATTCAATGTTTTGTGATAATGAACAGACAGTGAGGTGCTACACATGCTTTGAACCTGTAATTTCAGGAAGTCTAGGCATTTCTAACTTAGTAGCAAGTAAAGAAGCCAGGCTGATTCATGTCCCATTTGAAATCCAATTGGAAGACAGAAATATAGAGTTGCCAAACACAAAAGAACTGTCAACAGGGAAAGAAATACAAGTCTCAAACGTCTAAGAAGGAATTACAAACAATAAAAGGTGTCATAATTAGTTGATAGTACCCTTTTTAATATTTCCAGATAAATTAGAAATGCTGTAGTACCTATAAAATACTACTGTATTTTAATAATTTTAAAATATTCAATACTAACAAAGGAGATTGAATTCCAACTTTAATTGTCAAAGGAGTATGAAAATAACCTTAAATACTTGAGATCCAGGCTCATTGTACGTTTTGGCATTCTTTGCTAACAGATCTATATCCTTGGCCATTGCATGAATGCTTTTATAACTTCCATTCTGCAGAACAAAAAACAGAACAGTTTTTTCTTTGAGAGAAAAACTGATACTTTCTATTGTCACAAAAAGAAAATGCGAAAGGTCTTTCACATTGAATAAAAACATTTCTTTATATGCTGCATAACAATTTGAGAAATTCATGGGGGGGGGGGGGAAAAAACAGATACAAATATAAAAGGATTTTTTTTTCCTGTGACAGTCCTACTAATGCTAAATGAACAATGCACTGACTCAAATTATTTTAATAAATTAGATTATGCAAACTTTAAAAGCACACATCATTCTGATTATCATTTTAATTCATCTCTATCCTTCACTTCAAGTTCAGTATGCATTCACAGTCAGAATTTCACAGATTCTGGAATTAGAGATTAATATTTCATTTTAAAATTTAGATTTAAACTATTTCAGCTGGTATAAATCACCAGGTTCTAGCTCAAAGAAATCAAGGTAACAGCTAACTAAAACCAAACAAGAATAGGAAAGGGTAAGGTGGGAGAACACAAAATGGTAATCAGAATGACTCAAACTTCAATATCTCAATTTGCCATGGCCAGAAGTGACTACATAATACATAGCCAAGAATCCACAATAACTGGCATTTAATTCACATCAACAACTAGTAGTTTAAGACACTGAACTTTAAATGGACTACTTTTGGCACACTAGTCCAGAAATGATGTCCTGAACTTCATAGCAATATAGTTTTCATTTTCTTAATTTACTGGTAAAAATTACACGAACTACTGATCTATATAAACTTTTGCTTCTAAACTTAAAAAAACCTTATTTTTTCCAAAATTACAATGTACAGATCATTGACATGATCATACTGTACCTGTATCCTCTGGGCAATAGTCTTAAGATCTATGGGTTCTTTAATTATTGCATAATAATCCGGATATTGCTAGAAAACAAAAATAATGCATTTATTGGTTGTACACTGGCACAAAGATCACAAGGGAAACCATACAAATCCGTATTAAATAAGCTTTTGAAGTTGATGGCCTATAACCAAAGACAGGTGAGAAGACAGATTATCACCACAAAACAGCTGAAAGATTATATGTACATTCAGTACTGCAACTGGATTTAAGTTTTATTCTTAATCAGCATTATTAATGTCATCATACCATTAAGATAAACATTGCTCATATAATTAATTTATAATTAACCATAGCTGATAGTAACTACACTCACTCTGAACTGAGCTGTGACTTCAAAACAAAATTTAGATTACAGTAGTAATAAGAATATTTCAGGGTTGATGCAAAGAAACATTTCCACCGGAAGAAAGCTACTAAAATAATAAACAGTTCTTAGAGCCAATTAAGAAAAAGGAAACGTTTCAACATTCCACAATGTGATATAAAAATACTATTTCCTCAGAAACAAACAATGATTTTGTAACATTGTCTTTTATCGGATGAGGTGTAACAATATCTTAACATTGATAGTTAACTATTAGACATTAGCAAATTATTAGGTGTGTGTATATCTGTGTTAAAATGTTATTGTACATTGTCTGATTAAACTGGTAATGGCTTCTTCAGTAAACAGACATGGGGAGGGGGGGATTTTCACTGCAAAGCAAAATATTATGACTTGGTAGTGCTTGAAGTATTTTTGTTCACTTGACTGTCTCACAGTCAGCCCCCAGTATCAGTTATATGACTTTCCAGACACCAACTATAGAACACGAATGACTTCATTTCATTACTCACCACTTTAGAAGGAAGTTTCTGAAACAGCTCACTTATGAGACGCCCTGATGGATTGGTGGCTATGGCTACAGCTTCAAGCAACTGTTCAAGAATCTCTTTCAAGTAGCTTGGAGAAGACTGGTATAAGGAAATGAAGTTATAAAAAGCTTTGAGAAAGATTTCCATTTTTGGCTTATGCAAAATATTTCAGTGCAAATGTATAACATTTCTTTTTCAAGAAAAATAAGTGGAAAACAATGACTAGAAAGATGACCACAACTTTTCAAGACATAGTACAACGATTATGCATTTAGTAAGGCAAGTGAGTAAGTCTGAATGCCACATACACATTTCATGCACAGATCTGTTTATCAGTGTTACACAACAATAGGCACTGTCATGTCATGCAATGCTGAGATTTGTCAGGTGTAGCTCTAGTATAAGTCCTGGTTTAAGGCAGAACACAAACTCTGAGTATGAGTGTCCCTTCTGAAAGCATTCTCATAGGGCCTCAGGTTTTCTTGTACCAGGCCTCAGATTATGCAGTTACAGAGATCATATTTATTATAAAACTTGGACTAAAGTGAAACCACAAATGCAATAGTCATATCACTGATCATCTTACAACTATTTCTTATGAGTTCACTAATATACACAAACATATTTACAGAAGATAAATAGTTACATAGAAGGTGTGTCTAGACTACATCCCTCTTTCGACAGAGCGATGTAAATTAGACACTTTGAAATTGCAAATGAGGCTGGGATTTGAATTTCCTGTGTTTCATTTGCATAATTGCGTCATGGCGCTCTTACGAAAAAGTGCTATTTCGAAAGTGAAACCACAGTCTAGACGCCTTTTTTGAAAGATAATAGAAAATAGACACCTTTTTCGAAAGATCCTCAGGTTTACAGGATCTTTTGAAAAAGGCTTCTAGTTTCAAAAGAACCCTGTCTAGACTGCGGTTTCACTTTCAAAATAGCGCTTTTTTGAAAGAGCGCCATGACGCGATTATGCAAATGAAGCACGGGAAATTCAAATCCCAGCTTCATTTGCAATTTCGAAGTGTCTAATTTACATCCCTCTGTCGAAAGAGGAATGTAGTCGAGACATGCCCAGAGACTAACTAAAATCATTACATTTTTCTGTGCACGTGTAAGAACCCTTACACAGCATACTGGATTATAATCTAATGATTTAAATTATACGTACACATCCCATTACCTGTTTTGGCTCGGCTTAACCACACAGACTGATGTCCTTACATAAAGCGAGGTTAACTTTACTCTGAAATCCCACACCTTTTCATCTCTCCAGCAAACTATAGCTGCATATCTATACATGCTATATAACTATATGCTTCCTACTTACTACTTCAGAAACTGCCCCTTGATTGTCATGCCCTTCATCCTCTTCCTCCTCCTCCTCAGCATCGCCTTTCTGAACAAACTCATTCTTTGTGCGCATATACAAATCCCACAGTTTGCAGGCAGCTTTATATTCAGGTGAATCTGGCTGTGGGAACGAATCAAAGAGCACAACATTCATTGCTAGCCAGTTATTTAAAAGTGTTCTTAAAATTCTGAGCATTCTGAAGTGAAATATATCAAAAAAATAGAAAACACAACAATCACTGATTGTGTAATTCTTCAACACAGTGATATCAGGAACAGTATTATGAATTTAAATGATTATGAAACAGAGAGGAGGTGGCATATAATGTAATCTCTTTACTAGGATCTGGTCCATGCTAGGGAAACATTTTGGAGCCACTGTGGTACCGAAACAGATAAATATTGCCATAACATTATCTTACATATGAAACTGGATATATCTCCTAAAAGCACAGACCTGCTATTGTCAGAATATATGAATTTGACCCTTTAAGTGACATTTCTTTACCTTATAGTAAGCCTTTGCATTGTTAAATAGTAGCTGAAAGTCAGCTGTCAGTAGGTTCACATCATCATATTCTTCCATTTTTAGCTTTTGTTGGATTTTCATTAAATCAATAGGCTGAGAAACCACTTCATAGTAGTCTGGCTGATTTCTGTAGGAACGAGTAAAAACCTTAGCATCTGAACACTGAAAGTAAACCATACAGTATTTAACTTTTTGTACAAGTCTAAGAGTAATGCAGAAATGTTTCTAATATGTTTTTGCTACAACTCAAACAGCTCACATTTACAAACAACTTTAATATAAATGAATTACTACAGATTTTAAAATTTGTTAGTAATTTTTGTAAGTTTAAGATAAAAGTCTGTCTTCACCTACTCCATTCCCAAGGGCCAGTTAAGAGTTGTTCCCTGGAATATATTTTCTAGTATATTATCCTTCCACTTTTGAAGACAATTTTAGAATTAAGCAGAGCTCAATGTCAGGAAGGCTTTATAATCAATGGTTCATACTAAATCAAATGTTTAATTTTCTGACTGAAAACAGACACCTGTCTCTCAGTTGTTCAAAGACGAGTGCCATCAAATAATAAATCAAAACCCCTAATGCAAGCTTGTTGTATATTTAATGCATAGGTTTTGTAACTTTTTACATGGATAAGCTATTTCTCAAAATCCACTTGTTCCAGGACTAACTCTCAGACCTAAGTTTCTTACCAATAAACGCCACCTTCTTACCTTCGTTTTGGTGCCCTAATGAAAAGCTCACATAAGAGCCTGCCCTGTTCATCTTTGTAATCTCGGATAGTGTTGTATAGTTCATGGCACACAGCAATCTAAACAACAAGAACAGTCCAGTGAGACAGTGGAAATGCTTAAGGAAGCAACGAGCTGAAGGTATTTCTGTACTTGAAATGCTACTGCTGCATGACTGTAGCGCTTCAGAGTAGATACTGCCTATGCTGACAAAAGTGGTTCACCTGCCAATGAAGGCAATCCATTTCCTGAGGCACAGGGGCAAGTCCGACTACAGAATTCTGTCTATGCAAGGGCATAGCTACACCTCTCAGGGGTGTGGATTTAAGCTGATGTAGGCCAGCCTAAGCTCGAGTTAGGCTAGGAAGGTGGGGAACAGGAGTGCTGTGCCATGACATAAGTTATTCTACAGCAGAGGTATTAAGCACCCAGCCCACTGTATTAACATAGTACTATGGAACACCCAGATCCTGCAGAATCTTTTCGTAGGTTTTGTTTTTTTAAAGGGAGTTTCCTAGCCCTGATGTTTTCAAAGGAAACTTCCCAAAAGCAAATCAATAGTGTTGACTACAGACTCAAGACAACCCCAAAAAAATTAACTAAGGGAATATGGTCTCAGCTGTCTCACAGTTCATCTCACTGGGGTGCTAACTAATACTTTATGATGACACTTCAAATGGCAGCATTTAATATTTCTTTGCAGATAATTTTAGCAGCTGGAAGGAGGATGGGGAGAAAGTGAAAGCCATAAGGTGTAGAAATCAGAAACTATTACAGAGAAACAGATGCAATGGGAAGAGAGACAAGAAATACAATGTCGATGAAGAAAAAAGAAAAGTAGCTAAAGTAGTATGGGGAACGGGAAAAAAAGGACAGAAATTGTGATGACAGCCCAGGGCAGGTGGAGATATAGGGGGTGAGTGGGTGTTGGTGTTAGTGAGGTGGAGAGTTTGTTTGGAGTGTCCTGACTCCCATCTGGCACTCTCAAGACAGCAGCCCATAACTTCCAGGGCAGAGGAAAGACACAGGACTCTCTCCTGGGCTGGGCGGAGGAGGGGCAATTTACAAAAATTTCCCAGGTTATGCATGGGAGGTGGGGTGCTAGGGAAACTCTATTGTTTCATTAATGTTGTAGGGAGCTTAGTCCAAGTAAATCTGCCCTTTTCTTGTTGAGGCTGGAGTGAGGAGGAGTTGGTATTCATTACCAACTCATTGGTGACACAATTACAAGATCTGAAATATGCCAGGAAAAATATGATGGGGAGGGAATAATGTAGCACCTTGCTATTTTCCACTGTTAGACTTATAGAGCAAACACTAAACAGTGAATCCTCTGCAGTTCTAGACCAAAATATTTTTACCTAGTATCAGGAAGGAAAGACAAAGAGCTTGCTTTTGACCATGTTGATTTGTTAGAAAGCCTGGGCTAAAATTGAGTATGAGAGACACAGATCTAGAGCAGAGAAGAGGGCTGAGAATGTCTGCAATAGCAGATCTTAATGCAGGATTTGACTTCACTAGTATTGTTGTTTTTTTATTGTAAACTTTTAGGCTGATTTTGTAGATAAGGATTCAGAAAGCCTGAATGAGGCTGGAGAGAGGCTGTTCTCAGTGGTGACAGATGGCAGAACGAGGAGCAATGGTCTCAAGTTACAGTGGGAGAGGGCTTGGTTGGACATTAGGAAAATATCGAGCCCAGGGTTAACTGGGGACTCCTCCCCCAAGGCTGTTGCTACACTTCAAAGGCAGAAGTGTTCTTCTCAACTAATCGAATAGTAGATGCAAATTGCATCCACTATTCAATTAGCCAAATAATTGAAATTTTACATCTCTAGCAAGAGGTAGAGTATTTTTTGTGTGTAACACCTGGAGTTCTATTATTTGTGGCCCATGAAAATATGTGCACCTTTTGGACCATCACAACTTCTGTCCTTTTTTATTTTCTCCCCATACACTTTTAGCTACTTTTCCTTTTTCTTTGTGCTGACGGTGCATGTCCCCACACAACCTCAACAGTGGTGCTGCACATAAGAAATTTCAACCCGCCCAAAGATGGAAAATATCAGAGTGAACACTATCAGACATCTCCACACGTGTAATTTGATATAGTTGCTCCATAGCAGCCATTTTAGCTGGTGTGGAATCAGTGCTACTGGGCTCAGAGGAAATCATTACTAGCCCCCCTCAGTCAAAATTAGAGCTCAGGACAGGAAAACACCCAACACAATGATGGAAACTGAAGCTGTTCCTACGAGTTCCCAAGACATGCAGAACACCATCCGAATGGGATAAAGCCTGGAAGAAAACTTTGCAATCCCAGGAAACAACAGAACACTATGTTGTCCCCTTACCATACATATCACTAAATATAAATCACTTTTTCAACAGCAAATGTTTCTTAACAGCTGTTTCAAAAGGTATTCCGCATTTGGATTTATGCAGTAAGAAAGAAGGGGTATTACAATGGTACTTACAGGATCTACAGTCGGGAGATTGGAAAGTCTCCTCCTTTTCCTGCTTGGGCCTGGTATATTTGTTGAATGGTGACCATCATCAAAATCTCCCCCACTGATGCTGCTGGACGGAGAAGTAGCCCTTCGTCTCTTGGAACCCATGGAATCCAACTTCTTCTATAATAAAGAAAGATGTTCTTAAACTTATGGCTTTGTGTCCAGTCTCTTTGGTGAGAGTGAGCTATTGAACATTCAGTTCTTTAGGATGTATGTATTTAAGATGGTTCACAGTGATTTAGTTATGTATTACTACCTGATGAAATCATATAGCTAAACCACTGCACAGGTCTTTGATAGATTACCTGATAATCCAAACTATCCTAAAGTTTTATACTGCCATGCATCACCAAAACATGTGTGCGCCTTGATTCACAGAGGGTGATGGAAATTAGTGATGTAAAATCCCATTTAATCAGTTATGGGATTACGTTATGTTTAATCACCCTTCCCTTGTCGGGTGGAGGACTGCTCCAGCCACCACTGGTTAATCGTAACTCGTAAGCATCACCCGGTAAGGGTGATGCTTACCAGTTAACTTGTTAACCATTCACATCCTTAATGAAAATTTAACAATAGTAACAAGTGTGGTTTTATAAATCACCTCTCAATACTTAAAAGTCTCAGAGGACTAGCCATGTTAGTCTGTAACTTTAAAAAAAACTAGTGGCCCCACTTCCTCAGAAGTGTGTGTGTGTGTGTTTCTATCAATGCTTGTGATTTTATCATTCCACACATGATAATAAAATGAGAATTTTTGTTATGGCAGATGAACTACAGGCTGAACCTCTCTAGTCCAGCACCCTCAGGAACTGACTTGTGCCGAGTCAGAGAACTTGCCAAACCACAGGAGGTCAATATTGTCTAGCGGCATTACCAACATTTTCACTGCTTACTGGGTTCTTAGAAGACATTTAGGGGTAAAGTAAAGCTAAGTAACAGTACAGAACACTGACAGCCAGGTAAACCAACTTTATATGACCATGGGAAACTTGGCCAAGCAGAGATCAGGCTAACTAAAATCATGCTGGACCACAGATGTTGCTGGACCAGAGAGGTTCAACTGTATGTTGGTGATTCTGATTCACAAATACTCCATACCATGTCAAAAAACAAACAATACTGATAATGTAACTCAGAGTCTATACTAACAAGTTAAAAAAAAAATCAAATCACAGCTGCCACTTAATGTCTAGTCCCGGGATCACATAAAAAAGGGTGTGGTTTGTCACCCTTGTTATTATATTTTCAAACTCTCCCATTCTCTCTCAAATGCTAAAATAGGTGTGGAATGGACCAGCTCAAGCAACTGGCACTGTAACAGACTATCTCCTCTTCCCCATGGGTTAGAATTTACTAACATAGTGACTGAAATTAATAACTTTTCAGTAACCACTGAGTAGTTTTTGAAACAAGCAGGTGCATGTAACCCAATTTCTACTGACAAGGTGTCAGTATATCGAAAACTCATCTCTACTGCCACTGTTGCTACGTGTCTCAAAGACTAAAGATTGAATTGATTTTCTAATAGAATCAAGGCATTTTTCCTGAACGTGTTTTTAAAGGTGCAACAGCCTGGCATAATTACATTAGGATATTTCTTAAACTTTTTAAGAGCAGAATTAATTAGCAGCAAGTACTTAAATAAGTTGAATGAATATGAAAGGGGATTTGTTATGCACAGGATTAAAAAAAAAATCAAGTCCAGGTAGGGAAGAGGGGAGGATGATGCGTATATGATCAATAATTTACCAGATTTACCAGAGTACAACCAGCACCACGAAAAGCCAGTCTCCTCATAGTGTCTGTCTGCTGACCAAGCTAAGATATTGGGAGAAGGTAAGGCTTTAAAAGTGTCAATTCAGCAAACCTGTTAGTACAGTCTTAACTGAAAGAGAAGAAGAAAAAGGAGGGGAAAACAGAGGGGAAAGGTAAAAAGGAGAGAGTGAATAGACAGAAATTCAAGGAAAATAGAGAGGAAAGGAAGGGGAGGAGAAGGAACATATAGATTAGCATTTTTAGGATTTGTTTTTAACAAAAACAAACATCCACATAGTTGTCTTTCTGTGTAAAAAATACTCTGGAATTTCTAAACAAAACATTTGTATGTTCCTAATGACCCTGCTGACATGACAGATTATATAGACAGTCTTAATCTAAAAGCAGAGGGAACAACTGCAATATTGTAAACTGATGGGAGTGGAGAAGCAGGATAGCAAATGTAAAATTTAAAAAAAGTTTAAAACTATCAAAAAAGTAGTAAGACCCTTTAGCAGTAGCCCACATAAACAAGAAACATATTTATAGGTGTTTTATGGCTCTCTTCAGTAAACACTAACCTTCCTTATTAAACTTTAAACCCAGTTAGAAAACTTCAGCCACATACCCTATTACACGATAAAGTTTACCAACATAAGCTTGTGCAACAAATACTTCAATTTACTTGTTGAAAAACACTTCTATCAAAACCAAGTTGGAATATCAACCAGGAAAATAAAATACAAAGCTGTATTTTGTTAGCAGAATAGCTATACCTTATCAAGGCCAGTTTTTCTTTTAAGACTGATTTCCTAATGGATACAGAGAACTGTACAAAAAAACAGAGAATAAAATTAGTCTTATCTATCTAGTTTGCACTACTTTACTATTTGGAACAAGAACCAAAAGACATGTGAGACCATTTGTAAACTAAATGGCAATTTTTTCCTATGCATTTTTACACTGTACATACACTTGCAGAGGAAGTTTAAGAGCATATTAAGCATTATGTTTGAATGGTTTCATTTAAAGGTCTCGGAGGTTTATCTCCCTGTAATAACTTAGATCAATGTAAAATCTATATCAAGATCTGGACACCATCACATACCCAATTCAGTAAGAATCATCATAAAATATCTGCCAGCTAGAAAATAATACCAAATACCTGCCAACATAACATTTCAGAGCCTGAACTGCATTAAAGATTCTCTGGCTCTCTATGTTTCTGTACAATAATCAAATTACTGATAATAAAAGAATACCTTAAATTTAAATGAGAAAGTGTAGAAAATATTGATTTCTTCTCAATGGTGCCTTGTGGGTAAACAACAATCTCTCTAATTACAATCACATTTCTTCCTTGTATGAGGTAGAGAAAGTAGTGAGAGTTATTCACATGTTCCAACATGGCCTGAGAACAGCATCTCCATAGAACTCCCATAAAGGATTGCTTTAAAATCAAGGGTTGGCAATAATTTTTGATGGGGGGGCCACTCCAAGAATTTGCTAAGTAATAAAGGGCCACACTCTTCTAGAGGACAAGATGCAGGGCCTGGGATGGAGGTTAGGTGCAGGGGGGGGAATCAGGATTGGGAGGCAGGAGGTGATGTGGGGTCTGGGAGGCAGTTTGGGTGAAGAAAAGGGTTGTAACCCAGGGAAAGGGATTGTGGTGCAGGCAGGGTTGTGTGTGTAGGAGAGGATTCTGACCTGAGGGAGAGATGTAGGAGGGGGTACAGGAGAGGGCTGTGATCTAGGTGAGGGAGCGGGGTGTGGAAGTGAGTGGCATGCCAGATGGAGGTTCTGACCAAGAGACATTTACTCTAGGCAGCTCCAGGCCAGCAGGACCCTCGGGAGGGCTCCCTGCCTTCTGCACCCACCCCACACACCACAAAGGAACTGGCAGCTGGGGCCATGTATGTCTTCTGCACACTGCTTGCATTGCAAGCATGGCCCAGGCTGCTCCCATTGGCCAGTTTCCGTCCAATGAGAGCTATAATATTGTACTGGGGGGTGGGGGTAGGGGCAGTGCATGGAGCCCTTCCCAATGGGGTGCAGGCTGCAAAAAGATGCACATAGCTCCAACAGTGGGCTGTTTTGAGCAGCGTGCGGGGACACAGTATGCAAGGAGCCTGCCCGAGGGCCCTCTTGAAAGCGGGGTGTTCGCAGCCCATAGGATCACAGCGGGCTGAATCTGAAGGTTTGGTGGGCCAAATCCAGCCCGCTGGCCATATTTTGCCCACCTCTGCTTTAAATCTTGAATATTTTACATAATCTTTCCAGCCACTCTTAAAGTCAGATCTTTTATAATACCTTCTTCTACAGCTATTCACTAAGAGATCTCTTTTGCTAGCCCTAAAACATGACAGGTCACTCATTGCCAAACTGTTTCTCAATGATGTTTCTGTAGTAATCTATTCAGAACTCATCAACTTATTACAAATATCTCCTTGAAAGAGGCAAGCTTTTGTACATATTCAAGATGACTTACTTAAAACAAGCCAAAAGGGTTTTAACAAGCATGTACCTTTCCACATTCCTTTAAAAACAACCAATAAGGCAGACACACAGATGTCAAGAAAACTATTTTTTGCTATGTGGGCATCCTTCGCATTACTGCAGAAACCGTTTTCAGATCATTGGTAAATGTCACAAAATGACAGAGGAAACTAGGGATACAAAGGGTTAATACTTAAGAGATAAGCATGCCCTTACTGGCTTACCTGGGTAACCCTGGCCCTTTCTGACAACAAAAATTAGTACAGGATCTCCCCCAGGTGCCGCCACCCTGGGAGAGGAGGGCCAAAACTGAAGCCCAAGCCTCACCACCCCAGGGTGCAGGGCAGAAGCCAAAGTCCAAGGTCTTCAGCACTGACTGGGGGAGGAACGGCAAAGCTCTTGATGACAGGGGTCTGGCTCTGACCGTAGGTCCCTGTAAGTCTAGCACCAATCTTGGCAATACATTAAAATGGGGCTGCATTCCAATTTGGGGTCCTGACACACAGTTTGAAAACCTCTGCTCTGGACTAAATACAGTAAACTTCCAATAATCCGGAACCTTTGGGATCCACATTATCAGATATGCCGGACTATCAGAAGGAGGGGCTATGAGGGGGGGGAATGACTTTGTTTTTAAACCATAAAATATGGTTAACAAAAAGTTTTCTCCATCAAACAAATTCTTCGTGTTTTCTAAAGATCAGTTCCCAGAAGTTCACATTAGGTAAGACATAGATTATTCTCATCTTTGTAGTGAAGAAACAGAAAAGAGGACAGAAACATAGATAAAGAAGACCCTTATTTTGCAGAGAATTCAGCAGTTCATAAAATAAAAAAAATAGTTTTATTTTAAAGTATTTTTTTTCACAACACCTTTACATAGCACCTACAGCAATAGGAAATAACTGCAGCCTCTAAAGGAGGCTGGAAAATAAATAATTAGCAATAGTATCATAGGGGAAACAGACTGCCATTTTTTAGATGATCAGAGAAACTTTCTATTGGTGTTTTTATAATAAGTTTATACTTTCTTGGACCCTTGAATGCACTTGATACATTTTAATCAATCTTCAAAACACTGAAGTGACATAGATGATGTGTTATTTCCATTTACCTTTTACAGTAAACTTCTGATAATACGGCACCTTTAGGACCCAGGGGGTGCCAGATTATCAGATATGCCGGACTATAGGAAGGGGGGGCTATGGGGGGTCTGGGATGGAGTGGGGAGGATGTGCCCCTCGGCGCTAGGGGACCAACCTGGCAGCGCCCCAGGGTTGCCGGGTTGGTTCCGCAGCCCCGAGGGGCAGAGCTAGGGGACCAACCTGGCAGAGCCCCAGGTGCTCTGCCCCCGGCATCCCCGATTCAGCCGCTGGTCAATTTTAGCAGCGGCTGAATGGGGAAGCAGGGGGCAGAGCAGCTCCAATGGTCCGGCTGTCCGGAGCACTTTCGGGTTCCTGATGGTGCCGGACAATCAGATGCCGGACCATCAGATGCGAGACCATCGGAGTTTTACTGCATGCCTAATTCTTTCAGCCTTTTCTCAGAAAGGGACAAAATACCGCTTCTGTCCCAGAGAACATGTCAGGGCAGGTAGAAATGAAAGACAAAATCACGTGAATGACAGTCTTACAAATCAAAATACAGAAACAGGATGATGTAATAGATGGTCTCGGCCTCAATTTTTTCACCTGTAAAGTACTGGGTGCATAGTTAACAACTGTACAATACTTGAAGATGCGTATGTAGCTATACAAAAATATTTTATTAATATTTATAGGGCCATATATAGACCCAATCCTCCCAAAAACCTTTTACCGAAAAGGCCTCACAAACTTTCCTAGAACATGTATTCCTTTAAAGTACCATTTAGTAATATTTGAATATTAGCAGACCTGTATTTTACCCAGTAGTTGATCAAATAAGTGGTCACATTCTGTCCCTTGTCCATTACCCCTTCAAAAATTAATAAAGAAATAAATATGTGCATTTAATGTTGCAAACTTTATCCTTTTACAGTACATCATTCCCTCCACTGACTTTTCCTCATATGGTCAAACGTGTTTCAGGATTTATCAGTAATCATATAAAATGATAATATGTTCCCTTTAGGGATATAAAATTCCAGTTAAGTGGTTAACCAGTTAAAGTATTTGACCAGTTAACCACACATGAGGAGGAGTTGAAGGGGAAGCTGCCCCAGCCAAAGCCCCTTGTGCTGTGGCAATGAAGACTGTGGAATCCCCATCCCTGGAAGTTTTTAAGAACAGATTGGACTAGGGGTGTTAAATATTGGTTAATTGGTTACTCAGTTATTCTATAGTCCCTGGTGAGAGGCTGGCTGGCAGTATGCTCTGGCCCCACTCCCGAGGAGCCCCCTGCCACTCCGTGTCCGTGGGGAGAGGGGGGAGCTCCCAGACCTGGCGCAAGCTGGAACTGAGCCGGGCTGCCTGCCCGCCTGGCTCCTCATAGGTTTAAATGCAGAGCCGCAGCAGGGGGTCGGTCCCAGACCCCGCGCAAGCCAGGACTGAACCCGGCTGCTACAAGATGTACTGGGGGAGGAGAGTGGTGTATCTCTAGCACTGACTGGTCGCTTTGCTGATCAGCTAATCGGCTCCGCTGTTACCTCCCAGGGCTGGACACAAGGGATGATGCAGGGTTAGTCGGTCCTGGCTCGGCATGGGCGCCGCAGCAGGGGGTCGGTCCCAGACCCCGCGCAAGCCAGGACTGAACCCGGCTGCTACAAGATGTACTGGGGGAGGAGAGTGGTGTATCTCTAGCACTGACTGGTCGCTTTGCTGATCAGCTAATCGGCTCCGCTGTTACCTCCCAGGGCTGGACACAAGGGATGATGCAGGGTTAGTCGGTCCTGGCTCGGCATGGGCGGGGCCTCCCCCTACACATCGAGGGGGCTTTGCCGTGCCCCCCGGGGTCAGCGCTGGGCCAGGGCTCCCGGGTCCGTACGGCGAGCGGACTGCCCGCTCCGTGCCTCAGTTTCCCCCGCGGCGGGAGAGCTCCGGGGGGGGGCGCAGCGGTGCGAACAGGGGCTGGGCCCCCCCGGGCAGCGCGGCGGCCACACAAAGGGAAGCGGCGGCCT